TTATTATTAAAATCACAGCCAAATCGCAGTGAAATTTGAAAATGTTCGAAAACGCTGCGATTTCGCGGCGACGTGAATTTCTAGAATCGTAGTAAAATCGCTGGGTGTTCACACGCGCGATTTTGCATCGCCGTGAGTATCGCCGAAAAAATCGCACCTCAAATCGCCGCAAAAATCTCCAATATCTTTTTAAGGAAAAAAGATATTTGCAAAAAGAAAAATTGCATTTTACTTCCCTATCAAAGGTCTTTTAATCCAGGCAAACATAGAGTATGCCCGAGAATATTAAAATTTGATTTTTGTGGCAGTTGAAGGGCGAATTCAGTGATTTTTTTAACTCTCGTATTTCTTCAAAAATATTCTTGAATTTAGCACTTTTTGTAGTTCAAACATTTAGGCTTTTAACTGGGAATTTGAATTTTTTTATTTTTTATTTGAAACGTCACGGGCCGATTTCTAAACGTAGTTCTTTTACGATATTGTCCTCACGTTCACTTAAGAATCACTAGATTTTCATGAAACCTCAGATTCTTATAAGTAAATAAATGGTCATTATTTTGTCTGCCTATAGTTTGAAGAAATTTATAGATCACTAGTAGTTGTGTCGGAAAATAGGCCCAAAAAAAAAAGCATTACAAATATGGTCTCGAAAGATTTAGCTAAAGCTAAATCTCATTAATGATTCGCGAGGAACATTAAGGCGTGCACATTGGAAAGAGAACGAGTCATTACGACATCCCAAGACGAAAAGATTCAGGTTATTGTCTGCGCAAAATTTATCGGGCTACAACTGCTCTGCTTCCAGTTACCTTACATTACTGATTCAAGGCCAACAAAATAAGATTTGCAAGACAACAATTTGTTATTGCAGTATTATGAATTCTTGTCAATTGGGGTTGTAAGTAGTGGTGTTCCTGGTGATATGCTTCATATCATTCCTAATATATATGTTTTCAAATAGCTCCAGATTGCTTTCCTCGACTTACTCGTACCACACCCACTTCATCCACATCTGTATACGTCTATTGGACACCACTGCATAGGAATGCAAAGTGCATCAATGGAGTGTTGAAAGGATACAAGGTAGCCTACAAAATATCTGGAAGAAATTACAAGTTACAGTACGTCGATGTGAAACAACCGACTGCTCGATCGTTTCTGGTGACAAGACTTCAGAAATTCACAACCTATTCATTCCAATTACTGGCATACACTATCAAGGACGGTCCACTGAGTAATGCACGGCATCTAACAACTTTACAAGATGGTAAGAAAAACATCACACAACTACTTGATGTAGTTTTTATTTTGATTTGGAACGTAAGGGTTTTGTTATATCATAGTAGATATATGAATGCTTACCATAAAAGACTGTTATTTGTTTAATCCTAATGTAACAGTTGACWAAGAATKTTTATCAAAGKGTRCCACATATARTATTGTTGGTCATATGCCTAAACATTCCTTTTATATATGTTAAATAGCTCCAGATTGCTCTCCTCGACTAACTCGTATCACACCCACTTCATCCACATCTGTATACGTCTACTGGACTCCACTGGATAGGAATACAAACTGCATTAATGGAGTGTTGAGAGGATACAAGATAGCCTACAAAGTATCAGGAAGAAATTACAAGTTACAGTATGTCGATGTGAAACAACCGACTGCTCGTTGGATTCCGGTGACAAAACTTCAGAAATTCACAACCTATTCATTCCAAGTACTGGCATACACTATCAAGGACGGTCCACTGAGTGATGCACGGGATGCAACAACTTTAGAAGATGGTAAAAAAATCACCACATTTTTACTTGATGTAGGTTTTATTTATCAGTTAGATGACATAAAAGCGCGCCCCCATGGCGATATAGACGCACGAGAGAAAATATAAATAACTCTAGCTTGTTAAGAGTTCTTTATATTTTCTCAAGTGCGTCTATATCGCCATGGGCGAGCGCTTTTTTGTCGTCTAACTGATTTATAATATGACCAAAAATCTACCGTGCGACCCATGGGCAAATAGTTCATAGGCATTTCAGCCAATCAGAGCGCGCGTTATATCACCAATCTCGCTCGTGCGCGCGCTATTGACGCCATCGGGTTTGAAAATGTAGAGAAAAAAGGCGAGCGTCCATTGAGATCAGCGTGCGCGAGCGTGCAGCCTATGGGGAAATAGTTCATTGGTTTTTGGCCAATCAGAGCGCGCGTAATAATCTAGTCATATTATAATTGGATTTGGAAAAAAAGAGGTCGTTGTTTTATCGAGACTCAGATTTCTTTCTGAGTCTTTCAATTGCAGCTGCATAAGTTGCTTCGTATACTGCGAGAATCAGCTCAATTTGATATATACATTAAATCCGCAGCACAAATATATACTTCATATATATTCTCATACACATATATAAATTTCTATCGGGTGAATAAACCCACCTAATGTGTCCTTGAAGTCTCTTATTAGGCTTGGTAGCTCAGTTGTTAGAGCATGCCACCGGAATCTCCAGGGTACGGGTTCAAATCCCGTTCAAGACTATGAACATTATATATTACAATCGCAGTACAAATATATATTTCATATATATTCTAATACACATATAGTAGATATGTGAATGCTTAACATAAAAGACTGTTATTTGTTTAATCCTAATGTAGCAGTTGACAAAGAATGTTTATCAAAGAGTACTACATATAGTATTGTTGGTCATATTCCTAAACATTCCTAAACATTCCTATTATATATGAAAATAGCTCCAGATTGCTCTCCTCGACTTACTCGTATCACACCCACTTCATCCACATCTGTATACGTCTACTGGACTGCACTGGATAAGAATACAGAGTGCATTAATGGAGTGTTGAAAGGATA